TTTTTTTTAAAGACCAGGCTGACTGGTCTGATAGAGACTGTGGAATCCCTGAGTCTGTGGCCTTTTAGACCTAGAACTGAACTCACTCTTGTGGCTCGAGTTTCAGGCAAAAAATAGATAAACCTATGAGGTGAACAATAACACCAAACAGGTACGCACTCCTTAGAACCATCAACCACAAGAGATCTAAAGTGAAGCATTTGCCCAGGGATAGTGTTCAGAAGGCAGTAATTGATAGGACAGAAGTACAAAGGGAAATAGTAACTACAGGGAGGAGGTGGAGGAGTGCTCTTACTTTGTGGGGATTGAAGTCAATGCCACGAAACAAAATGTGTATGAACTGTTGAATGGAAAACAAACTTGCTCTGTAACTTTCACCCAAAACACAATAAAAAGCTTTTTTTAAAAAAAAAAAAAAAGTGGATGGATGGATGGATAAGATCCTTGCCTGGGGAATTTTCTCAGTTTTTCACTTTGACTCCAAAAAAGAAAAAAAAAACAAACTCACTGCCATCAGGTCGATTCTGACTCATAGTGACCCCCTTTGGATTTCCAAGGCAGTAAATCTTTACGGAAGTAGATTTCCCAGTCTTCCTTCCACAGAGTTGCTGGTGGGTTTGAACTACCAGCCTTCTGGTTAGCAGTCAAATGTCTTAGGCACTACACCACCAGAGTCAATGGATTACAGCCTCATTTTGTTCTTAGTTGGAGGAAGATAGCAGTTATAAAATTTTGTTTTTACAAAGCCATCAGACTCAAAGCGCAACCTACAAATCTCACTTCTTTTCCACTTCAGCTCCCATACGAGTAGACTTCCCAAACCTGCTCCATCCCAATTGTGACACCCTGCCACACTGATTTTTGGGATGAGTAATTGGTTATTGTTAATGGGATGTAATAAGTGGGATTATAAGGCTATCCCCAAAATGTGATACCTCTTCACTAAAACAAATTGAAACTGAATGATAGCCTTGCTATTTAAGTATATTTTTATCCTGCTGGCTGGGGCATTCCTAAACCACCTGTCCCTTGTTTAATGTAATAGAATGATTGTATGGGAAAGAAAACTGAAATGAACAGAATTCAGCTTTATTGTCAGAAATGGAAATGATCAAACCTGACAGCTGATACTTCAATAAATGCTTATGGAATAAATATCCTTGCATTTATCCATTCAATCATTGTCAAAAAGACTCCTGCTTTATACACCTCCTCCTGCCTTCTCTACAATACATCTGGTTTCACACAAATATCTCTTCTTTTCACACATGATTTACATTAATCATTTATATTAAGAATGTCTTACAATATTGATTTGTTACCTATCCATTTTATAGATCAAAATGTTTCTTCTATATAATCTTCAACATACTTCAAATTTGCAAGTAATTCATCTTTTTTTTTTTTTTTTTTCAGGAATTCCAGTACATGGATGCATCTAGTTCCTAACCATTTTATTTAACCAGGTTACATTTCCTATTCCTAACTTACCTCACATGTCTTGGTCATGGAAGGGAACAGTCCCTGGAGAAGAATATGCTTGGTAAAGTAGAGGGTCAGCAAAAAAAGGGAAG